GGGCAGGCCCAGGGGTCCTCAGTGTGTGTGTGTGTGTGTGTGCGTGCGCGCGCGCCGCGCAGGGTGGACAGGCTTGGGTCCACCAGCAACATACACACACACACACACACCAACCCTTAAGACACACGCTCCTGGGGGGGAGGGGCGGCACAGGTCACACACACATGTAACACAGATTCAGATACACATCCTACAAACACATGCACACCCAGGGCACATCCCCCAATATGCACACGGACACACACACATACACACACCCTCCAACCATGTGCACACACAGGCCTACCCACATACACCAAAGCACCAAAATCATGCCATTGAGTCAATGCCCACTCACAGCGGCCCGACAGGGCAGAATGGGCTCCCCAGAATGCCCGTCTTTACAGAGGCAGAAAGCCTCCTCTTTCTGCTGCAGAGCGGCTGGTAGATTCGAGCAGCTGACCTGGTGGTTCCCAGCCCAATGGGTCGCCACGACGCCATCAGGGCTCCTTGCCTGGCACATAGAAGGCACTTAATAAATAGTCTGGGAATGAGTGATTGAAGTCCCAGCAACACGGGGTCAGCCCAGCTGAATCTGCCTATGCGCCTGAGGAGGGGAGTGGTCCCCAGGTGTGTGTGTGTCCAGGGGATGGTGGCACATGCAGACACACTTGGGGCACACTCCCCTCTTGAGGTGCATATACAGACACACACGAATCGTGTCATGGGCATCCATGTAGGTAGACCCCCCACCCCACCCCAAACTCCTGCACCTGTGGCCGTCGTGTCCCCCGTTACAGGTAAGACAACTGAGGATCCCGAGGTGAGATGGCTCCCCAAGGCTGCCCCTGGAGGGACAACAGCACTGAGCACGCCTCTCGTGTGGTCACCAGCGGCCTGGTGGCTCGATAATGAAGTGCTTGGCTACCAACTGAAAAGTAGGCAGTTCAAACTCACAGCTGCTCCGTGGAAGAAAAAGAGCTGGCCAATCCGTTTCCATAAACATGACAATCCCGGAAACGCTATAGCGATGTTCTGCTCCACTGTCACACGGGAGTTGGCATCAATTCAATGACCCCAAACAATGGGATGGACACACCGGTTTAGTGTCCTCCGTCTATCTTGCCCTCCCCGCCCCCCCCGCCCCACTTCCTCTCTGTCTTGTGGGAAGAAAGCAGCGCTCAGCCCTCTCCCCAGGGCTAGCTATCAAACACAGGGAAGAAAAACATTCATCACACCTGCCATCACGCCCGGGCACCAGGGCAGACATCACTAATCGATCACCACATGCCAGAAGCTGAGCGCCCTCCTCCATAAGCCAGTTTGCTGGGGTGTCACCTGGGGCTGGCACACGGGTGACACCATCAGAGGGCCTGACCCTGAGATGACTGCCTATACAACGTGTGTGCAGAGCTGCAGCGGAGGTTTAGCATCTCTGTCTTCAATGACAAGATCACTGTCCTTCGTGGCCCAGGGCGCCAACCACAGTGATACACCTCCCTGGCTGCAAGTCCCCGCTAGTCTAGGCCTTGAGTCTTCCGAGGCGCTGGCTGGGGCAGGGCTGCCAGGCTCCCCCAACGCACAGGGCGCGCGCGGGGGACCGCGTGGGTCCGTCTGCACGGGCTACAAGCACATTCTGTTGTTTTGGCGGCGGCTGCAGTCAACTTTTCTGGCGTTTCAGCTACAATATTGTGGTAATTAGTGTCGGTGCACCATGTCAATAACTGCTCTGAAGAGGAAGCAGTCAGGATGGGGATGAAGGCAAGGCTTCTGCCAGTTCCCGAGGAGCCCCCGCAGCGAAGTGGTTGTGCGCCGGGCTGCATGCAGGCTGTCCCTGGCACCACCAACCTAAGCTGGTTCTGACTTAACATTATGCATGGTCTGCATGGTCGGCAGTTTGAAACCACCAGTGCACCTCCTCGGGAGAGGAGAGGACTTTCTACTCCCATAAACAGTTTAAGGGCTCGGGAACCCGCAGGGGGTCACTGGGAGTCAGCAGGACTTGAGGGCTCTGTGTTATTTTGATTTTGCTAATAGCGTGTGTCAACGTGGAGGGAGTTTTTACAAAGCCATTGTGGCTTAATCTAATCAAAGGAACGGCAGACGTAAGCAGCTGACCCGTAGCTCTCTTAGTAGACGCTGATGAAAAGTGGTGCTATGCATCAGGAAGGGTTCTGCGGGGTCTGGGAGAACAGGTCCAGGAGGGTGGCGCAGGGGTGACTGCATTGTGACCCCATGGCCCAGGTCTCCGTCCTGGTCCTGTTGAGCCTTTGGCCTGGGAGGCAGTCATGAGGGTGGGCGAGGCGGGGGAGGTTCCAGATCGCAGCTGCCCTGAGATTTCTGGAGCTCTTTAAAAACCACTGGGCCTGGTTCTGGCTGCAAACAGCCAGCCTTGCTGATGGAGAGGGGGTTGCGAGGTGGGGCTGTTTTAGTATTTAGCCATCAGCGAACTGGGGGACAGTCCCGCGGCAGCCCCGCCCTCCTGCAATCCACAGGTCCCCCGCGAGAACCCTGGGTAGCAGAGTTCCCACGCTGCGCAGGGCCTGGGAGCCGCCAGGGTCCCCTTTGATGTGGCCCATGTGGTTTCCTTCCAATCAGTGAGAACAGCCTCCATTCTGGACAAGCGACCGCTTCCCGCAGCCTCTAGGAAGGGGGTCGGCCCCTCACGGCTGCAGCTCAGCTTTCTGGGGCCTTGGGGTTCCTCAGGCACCCTGGCATCTACCTGAGCGAGGCAGGTCCTCCAGCCAGGTTCCCCGCCCCCATCAGCCTGTCAACTATGCGTCTCACGGTCTGCCCACGGCTCCCACCTTACCCAGAGTCCAATCCAATCTCCTCCTGTCCCCTCCACTGCCCACTATTCCCCCTCCACCCACCTCCCACCCGCTCCATGCAGCCACTCCCTCCACAAACATGCCAGGCCTGTGCCGGTCATTGTCTGCAGGCATCACGGCCAAGTGCAGGCTGTCCCTGGCACCGCCAACCTAAGTTGGTTTTGACTTAACATTCTGTGCCTCTCCCCTACCCCCGCCCCCCCATGGAGGCACAGTCGTTGGGCTGGTAACCGCAAGGTCAGCAGTTTGAAACCACCACCCGCCCAAGGGAGAGCAACGCACTCCACTTCCAGCCTCAGAAACCCACGGGGGCAGTTCTACCCTGCCCTGCAGGGTCCCTGTGAGCCGGCATCCACTCGAGGGCAGGGAGTTTGGTGTTGTGTTTTCTGACCGCCTTTCGTTTCCAGGGATCTTTACAAAGCGGATCGGAAACGCGAAGCCGGGGAGGGGGAAACATCAGGAGCTGATAGCAAGGGCTCAAGTAGAAAGAAAATGTTCTGAAAATGATGATGTCCTGAAAATGTGCTTGACACAATGGAGGGCTGGAGTGTGATAAGAGCTCTATGAACCCCCAA